GCTTTTTAAAAATACCATCTATAGGTACATGGAATTGACTTTTAAAATATTATTTTTTCAAAAATCTCTCTTAAATGAACGGTGAGCTATATATTTGAGACTACAGTTGTGCATTATGACATAAAAGGAATCGGATAGACATGGTCTCCCAAATACGTTTTTTCGAAAATCGACATTTTTTGATTTCACACCATCGGACCATTCGCACATTTGCTATCATAGTAAAATTCTTTGCAGAGTTAGAATAAAGGTGTAATTAGGTGTTTTGTAGCCTGTAATGCGTGCTACATAATACAGTTTAGTATATCGTTTTATCTTTAATCTGTATAAAGTTATGCTTTTTTGAATGAACTTGATCCACTTTTTCGGAAAAAACACAAAAAGTTTTGCCATTCTGCTCAACCTGCCTATGGGCACCTTATATTATTTGTTTTGTGCTAGTCCAGCGACGGGACTTTTTTTGCCACCAACATCTAAGAAAAAGCGAAATTTCACTTCGGATACTTCCCCTGTAAGAAGAAAAGATCGCTGTAATTAAATGTTCTATGAACTAGTGGATATCAAAAGTTCTCCTATCTTCAGCTGTTTCTGAAATTTCAGATGATGTGAACATGCTATTTTCTTTAATGGGTCTTCCTTTTGAAATGCATAATCGAAGGTTTTATTGAAGCAATAGTATGCATTTCTGACCGGCGTCTGTGTAGCTCAGCTGGTTGTAGCGCGGCATGTTCAGTATTTTGCATCAAAGTTCAATTCCTCGAAAGGTTCATATAATCAAAATCCTTTTTGAAAGTCTATAGATTTCCAAAACAACTCTTCTCTATTATTTTTCCCATGTTTCTTTCTTTTTTCTTTCATCTCCCCCACCCCCATTCTTTTCATTCACTCCTCGGGATATGTTTGCTCTTCCTTTCAACCATGACTCATTCAATTTTTTTTCTTTCTAACTTTTTTCTGACACCTATAGTCACGTCGTGTGTCCTTTTTTCTCATACAGAAAACACAAAAATCATCATTTTTCCTATTTTTTCGTGGGCGGATGATTCGGAATTCCTGAAATTTGTGGTTCCTGGGTCATTTTTTTTTGGAAAATACGTAATATTTTTCTCCATTTTACGTAGGAGAGATGACGTGAATTCGTGTTAGCTAAGAGTTCCTTATCAGTGTTAAGACCTTATCAGTTTTTAAAAGAATCTTTAGGCAGAAATTTATGTTATTTAAACTATTTAAGCTATTCCATTTTTTCAGTTTCTTGAAAATTAGTTTTTTGATTTTTGAGATCTCCTGAAAATCTCAATTCTTATGTGTACTTCCTCCATTCGTACGAAATCATTATTTGAAGTTTGTAATAGTTTTTTAACAATAAGTTGAAACTGGAAAAAATCGAAAAATTTAGTTTTTGAAAATGTATCTTTTTTGGATTTCCAAACTTTTTCAGTTTCCTAAAATTCATTTAGCAGACAATTTTTTTAACATATCAACTTTGACACAATTTATCTGAACTCCTGTCAGAAGTATCAAAAAATGGCTAACTAACAAAATACTTATGATATTATGATAAATGGCCTGAAAATGCCCTGACATGACCCTGGTGTGTTTTATATGTCATTTTATAGTGGTGGCCTAACTTTTGCAATTTTGGTTTTCTAGGCCACCACTTCAAAATGGCTCAGAAAACGCACCAGTTGCATATTTGACCATTCCCAGGCAAAAAAAAGATGGTGGCCTAGAAAACTCAACTTGCAAAAGTGAGGCCACGTCGAGTACTTTAATATTTTGAAGAATAAATTTGACGAAAAAGTTGAAATAAATTAAAATTGTTCAATAGAGCGCGTTTGAAATGGCGTATCGTGTCGACTCGAGTCGACACGACACGAGCCGACACAGAGTCGACACAGAGTCGACACGACACGACTCTGTGTCGACTCGTGTCGACACAACCTCGAGTCGACACAGAGTCGTGTCTTGTCGACTCTGTGTCGATACTGTGTCGTTTCTGGTGTCAGTCGACACGATTTTTATCGACTTCAATAGTCCGACTCGTCGACTCGAATCGTATCGATTTTCGTGTCGACACGTTACTCTATTCAAAATCGAAGGATATCCGGATTAACTGCAATTAACATTAGTACATTATCTAAACTTTCAGGAACAGAAATTTTAAAGTCCAACATTTTTTGTGTTAATTTTATGAATTTCGATTTTCCAAAATTTCCCAGTTTCCTAAAGTTCATTTAGCAGACAGTTTTCTTTTTTCCTATCTGTTTATTCAAATATGTTTCTCTTTTAAAAGTTCGAAGATTTTGAAATTTTGGCCAGAATATTGGAGAAGCTGCATTGCCGCCAGTTGAGCTATACTGTCATAACTTTAGTGTATTAACGACATATAAAAAATGTGTCAACTAACAAAATATTTCTGATATCATGATTAACATTTAATCAGTTGACCACTTTTTGATATCTTTCACAAAAATCACGAAATTTCACGAAATTGTCAAAAACTAGATTTTACTTAAAACATTTAAGAAAGTACAATTTTTCAGTCTCAAAATGAAATTTTTTTTGAAAAATGTGTTCGGAACATTTTGAAGATTTCCACAAAGACCGAAAACAAAAACAAAAACAAACAAAGGAGAGAGAAATCGAACCCAACCCTAGTCAGTTACCGTCCTCCCTCTTCACCGCTACACCACCAGTCGCTGCTTTCAACTAGTTCCACAATGCATATAAGAAAAGGGGAGATCTGGCCCTCAAAATATTCGAATTTCAGCCAAATTTCAAATTCGATTTTCTCGGATCTGGAATGTCCGCAGCAAAATCTGAATATATATTTGAAAATGTCTCATTCTCAGCTTTTGAATGATATAGGCCTCATATCAAAGTCCCATACCCCAGTTACAACCTTCCCTAGTAAGGGAAATGAGGAATTTCGGTTTAAAGTTGACGACCAGGGGACACTTTTGGTTTTGCTAGATTTTTTGATTTAAGCCTTTGATTAACTGTAACGGATATTCATTAAAACGTTATCTGAACTTCCAGAAACAGAAATTTTGAATTTGAGTTTTTTTTTTAATTTCAATGTTTCAGAAACTGTCGTGACCGACGAGCAGAAACATTATATTAGACTTTTCAAAACTTATATGTTACTTCTGAAGAGTTATCTGTACAATCAAAATTTGTCAAAAATTTCTGACTGAAATTAAGCTAAAACTCTCTTGTTTTTCAAAATTTCGAAAAATTTTCACCGTTTCCCTTTTTTTTGGATTAACTAGAGGAAAAAATTCCCACCAATTTTTTCGTTACTAATGAAAGTGTAAACTCAAATTTCAATATTCCCAAAAACAATAAAAACAAGGTTCATTAAAACATCTCATCTACGTATTTCTGTCTTCTAATTCCTTGAAGACCCTTTCCAAAAAAAAAAATAAATTCCTCCTAATCCAATTAGTATCTTTATATGTGTGTGTCTTCTGCATCCTTGACACGTCTCTACTTGAGATTCTCCACACACTTGAATTATTTTTTCATTCATTTACGTGCTTAATTTGAACATCTGTATTTAGTATGGTCGTCAACGGTCGGCAAAGCTTCAGTCGCGTGGCTTAAGGGGTATTTGCACTCTGAGCTCAATTATCTCGGTTCCTATGAAAGATATCGAACATGTGTCGACTGATAAAATGTTTATCATAAAATTTCCAACGTTTTATCAGTTGACAAAATTGTGATATCTCTTACAGGACTTGAGATAAATTGACTCAAAGTTAGCATTTCCCATTTGTGACTGCGTGTCTCAACCGGTAGCGGCGCAGCAACTCACCTTTTTTTTGAGCTCAATTATCCCAGCTCCTGTAAAAGATATCAAGATTTTGTCAACAGATAAAATGTTTTTCATAAAATCACCAACAGTTTTTAATTACAGTTTTTGATATCTCTTATAGTAACCGAGATAATTGAGCTCAAGCTCAAGTGAGCTCAAAACAAATCCATCGAAACTTTCTCGTACAAAAAAATTTTCCCATTTTCCGCATAATCTAGTCTTCCCCCGCCTGTGACCCATACGACAACACAACACAACACATTCCTATGGTCGAAAACACCGAAAGTGTCTCTCGGTCTGCCTGCGTCTCTATCGATTTGTGTACTCTCTCGTCACCTCTTCTCCCTAACCGTCCTCCTCGTTTTTCTCCAACCATTATCACAATCTGTTTCCATGTACACTCTTCTTTTGGTCTCTCTAGAAAATTCTCATTTATTTTTCCTTTTTTTTTGTACGTACATATATCAATCAATTTTATCAATAGTGGTTTTGATGGCGCGCGTTTCTTTTTTGGTATAAATCATTGATGTAGAAGTGCAATAAATCCTTTGGATTAGTGGAAAATAAGGCAAAAATTAATGGAATTTTGAGACATAATATTAAAATTAGTTTAGTTTAATGTTAAGATTTTTAATTAGTTATAATGACGGTAATTAAGCGAGAACCACAAAAATGACGGAATATGAACAGGAATACGTCATCGTTGCAGTTGGTTAAAGGTGAATTTTTGACAGTTATTTGAAACATTGTTTAAAAAAATCAATTACAATTTAAGTTCTTTTAAACGAAATATCTGAAAATGAACGGGAAATGACAAAAAACGAAAGTTTCAAATCATAATCAGCGAATTTTCAGACATTCCAAATAATTCGGTTTCAGATTCATCTTAATAAAAATTTTCAACAAAAATTGAAGATAAATTTCTTGACGATCTCAACAATTTCTGTAAATCTAAATACCTGAAAAATTTCTCATATTTTGGCTCAAAAAGCAAGCTTCTAGCTCATCTAGTATCTGAGATAGCCATTTCAAGTTTTGAAGGTGAGAGATGCAGACGACAAGACACTCTAACTGTCTGCGTCTCTCCGAAGCTTCGAAATGCTGTATCTCGGCTCTCAGTGATCCTTTTTGAATCGTTTTTTGACAAGAATACATAAAATTGTTCGCCGAATCCAATAATACTAAATTTGTCATAATTTTGAGAAAAAAAACGATTTTTTGATTTTTGGAAATTTTACATTTTTGGAATTCTCTTCAACTTTCCAGCATAATTTTCATCCGAGAGCAAGCTGATTGAAGACATAGACAGTTAGAGTATCTCGTTGTCTGCGTCTCTTGCCTTCAAAACTTCAAATGGCTATAGCTCAGCTTCTACATGAGCTAGAAACTTGGTTTTGAGTAAAAATGTGGGAAAATTCGATTTTTTAAACTATTTCTAAAAATACTCCGACTATTAAAAATAAACTAGAATTTCGCTTTTTTTGCTGTTTCAAAAAGTATTTTGAGTTTAAAAAGTACTATCCGGTCGATCAATCTACTCAAACTTGAGAATTACCGTCAATAAGAACGCCAGTGGTGTAAACACCACCACGCAAAATTACGGACCAATGTTTTTTACTGTTTCCCCTTTTCCATATGTAATATTTGCTACTCTTCTGTTTCAATGCGGTTGGTTCAGATGTTTTTTTTGCAGTAATTCCTCCTCTTCTCCCGGCGTCTTCACGGATTTTGTGCCGAAAAGAATGACCGGTAAAATCCGTCACTTTGGGAACCAAAACTACGAGAAGCTCAAAAAAATATGTGTGAAAAAGAAGCAACCATTCGTCGATACTCTCTTCCCGCCCACCAATCAATCACTATTTTTGGAGCAAGGCAGAAGTTCGGATATTGTTTGGAAGCGGCCTGCTGAGCTTCATCCGGACCCGCATCTTTTTGTGGAAGGAGCATCGCCGAACGATGTTACTCAAGGTAAGACTTGGAACCTAATTTATCTAGATTTCTATGCGAGATATAAAGAATCTGGCAACAGCTGAAATTTTTATCATACTATCAGCCATATTTTTCTAGTTTGATATCTTTCATGGGAACTGGCATATTTAAGCGAGTCATCGAATTCCATGAATTATCAGTTGAAGAAACGCATGTTTTGAAACAGAATCGAAATTTTTCAAATTTTCACTGACAGCTGTGAGCTACACGGTCGCAGTTTGCTGACCGTACGATAGTTCGGTACGGTAGCATATGAAATGTATAAACACCTTGACGCAAAAATGCGGACTTTCAAGAATAAAACGGTAGACTCAATAGTGCTCCTAACGTGGACGCAATTTATCTCAGTTCCTGTTGAAACTGAAAAAATTCGTGTCATGAAGTGTCATTGTCGGAATTTTCGGTCCAAACAAAAATTTTCAGTTTCCGAAAATTCATTTAGCATACAATTTATATCTTTTGCCAATTTTAGAAGAACATTTTCAAACAGTTTTGAAGAAGTTGAATTAGTTATCATAATATTGAGGTGCTGCGCCGCTGCTGGTTGAACTACGCGGGCAAAGAGAGAGGTGTATCAAATTTAGCTCAATTATCTCGGTTCCTGAGAGAGATATAAAAAAGGAGTAACTGATAACATGTTTCTGATAATATGATAAACATTTGGTTAGTTGACACCCTTTCGACATGTTTCACATGGAGCAAGATAAATTTTTTCGACAAATGGTCGGGACAGCTCTGTTTTTGAAATTTTGTAGAACACAATCAGTTAATTTCAGAGCTAGAAGTTATATTTAAAACAATTAATTTTGCTCAAAAATTAAATTGGAATACCGACTCATAAGCCATTGAATTTAACTAATTTTAGTTGAAAATAGTAAATTTGGATATCCCAAAAACATAATAGACATTTTGTGTTAGACTGAACATTTTAGAGTATACTTAACAAATTTTGAGCTTCATTTTGTAATTGAAAACTTTTTGCAACTCTCATTTTGATGGAAATTTTTTTTTCAACGGCCCATGTGGCTCCTACTCATAAATCCTCCAATTTTTTTTCACAAATTCCAGGAATCCTCGGAAACTGTTGGTTTGTATCTGCGTGCTCTGCTCTCACTCATAATCTGAAACTTCTTGCCCAAGTGATTCCGGAAGCCGATGATCAGGAATGGTCCACAAAGCACACCTACGCTGGAATCTTCAGATTTCGATTTTGGAGATTTGGAAAATGGGTGGAGGTGGTGATTGATGATTTGTTGCCGACGAGGTAAGTGTTGGGGAACATTGTGAAACATTTCTGTTTCTAGTTCAACGTTTTAGAATGATCTGTGTACCTCTAGTAATGTGTCAAGTTTTTGACTAGGTAAAAAATTCTTTCAGAGACGGAAAACTGCTCTTCGCGCGTTCAAAAACGCCCAACGAATTCTGGTCGGCACTTCTGGAGAAGGCGTTCGCCAAACTCTACGGATGCTATGAGAATCTGGTCGGTGGACACTTGTCAGATGCACTTCAAGATGTTTCTGGTGGTGTTGCCGAGACGCTTCATGTCAGAAAGTTTTTGAAAGATGTGAGTTTGGGAGGGAAATGTGCTCAATGGAGATTTTTGTTCGATAGAGCGCACAAAGTTTTCACGGTTTTCAAAACTTGATAAATATCAGAGTGCGGTTTTGGTTATGTTCTATACTGTTGACAATCCTTCATGGGCCTAAAATGACAAAAACCTTCAATTCATCAACTTCGGAGAATGGCAAATGCGCTCAATTGAACTAAAATGTGAACTCACTGTAAAATAACATTTCTCGGTCTCAAAACTGTGATGAAAGCTAAAATTCGGGTGTAGTCTATTCGATGGCGGATTTAAAACAATCTAGTTTTCAAAAATCCCATTTTCCTGTCGTTCTGTAATGCTCCGCTGAGATTGCCTTCAACGTGCTAGCTTCCTAACGCTTCAGCTAGATGCCAATAGAGCTACGCAGTCACAAGAGCCAGTTCCGCGGTGTTACTTGAGAAGCTACTTACTGTATGCTTTCAGGACCCGACAGACAAAGACCTAAAACTGTTCAACGATTTGAAAACGGCATTTGATAAAGGAGCACTGATTGTGGCGGCCATCGCCGCACGGACCAAAGAGGAAATCGAGGAGTCGCTGGATTGTGGACTAGTCAAAGGACATGCATACGCAGTCAGTGCAGTGTGCACAATTGATGTATCGAATCCGCAACAGAGGAGTTTGACGTGAGTTTTATACAGTACCCACCGAAAAATACTGTATTTGGATCTCGATGAAAAATCGGTGTTTTTGAAATTTTGAAGTGATACCATGGCCAATTTCATTAGTCAACTTTAAATCTAAAAAGTTACATGTCATACCTGAAACAGTATTTTTTGCTAGAAAATCATATTTTTAGTTGAAAATGGTCAACTTTGAGTTCCTGAAAAACTATTCCAGAACATTTTACTTTTCCTAAAAATTCTTGAGTGTACCAAACAAAAGTAGAGATTTAATATTGTAGTTGTCCGAAGGGCCGCGGGTTCAGTTTTGGCGGCGGCCTAATTCTTATTTGAAACCCAAAACCGGACAGCCTGACACTAGGACCAACAGACACGTCTAGCGTTTTATATACAGTGCGTTTCATAAGTATAGGTTCACCCTTGGTAGACAAGGTGGGAAATCTTGGAGGTTTGAGGTTGTTATAATATTAAAGTCCATGTAAAAATACATATCGCCCACAATTTTTAGACCGCTACTACAAAAAATAAATTTTTTATGTCAGAAAAAGTCTTTTTTTTGAAAAACGAGCGTTTCATAAGTATAGGTTCACCCCCGGAAAATTTAACATTAACAAAGTTTTATTCAATTCAATACTTTGTGGGCTTTCCACCAGTGGAAATAATAGAAAACAAGCGGTTTGGCATGGAATTTAACAACTTCTGGAGGTAAGGCTTCTTCAGGTTCTTCCATGCGTCCACGATGGCAGTTTGGAGCTCAGAAACGGTCTGGTATTGCTTTCCCTGACCATATACGACGCGCACGAGTTCACCCAAACATTCTCCATTGGGTTCAAATCCGGCGAACAAGCCGGCCAATCCATCACCTTGATTTTTTTGGACTTGAACCAGTCCAAAGTCGATCTGCTCGCATGAATCGAAGCATTGTCCTGTTGATATGTGAGCTGACGCCGATGAAAATGGGATCAGTTTGACAGTCATGACATCCTGATAGTCTGTCGAGTTCATTCTGAAGGAGACGAACGCCAAATCCACAGTACCGGCAGAAGAGAATGCTCCCCAGACCATAAGACGACCACCACCGAAGTTACGCTTGGAGAAATGGAGGGGATCCTTCTTCAGGTCGTGCCAGTAACTGTTGAAGCCGTCCGGCCCGTCCAGATTGAACTTTTTTTCATCGCTGAAGATGATCTGTAATAGAAAACAGCATAAGTGATGATTTCAAAAGCATTCCATACCTTATCCCAATCAGTTGCCATGTTGTTCCTTGCAAACTGAAGTCGGTTCGCCTTGTGCGCATCGGTGAGCATCGGCGCGGACATTAACTTGGCTCGGACAATGTTCTGATTGCTGTCCAGTGTTCTCCAGACCGTGGACTTGCTCACATCCAGTTTCAGCTCATTCTTTATGTCGTTACAGCTCTTCATCGAATTGGATGCCAGTCTGATGATGCTTCTCGTGTCTCGATCCGTCAATTTTTTCGGAGCTCCGCTCTTCTTGTTGGTCTCGTAGTGGTCCGGATTGTTAACAAGCGTGTTAATACAATTGAAAGACCGTCCTAACCTAGCTGCGATGCGCCGATTCGACCATCCAGCCGTTTTGAACGCGTCGATCTGAGCTCGCTGCGAATCCGAGAGATGAGTGGCTCGCGGCATAAGAAAAACGAAGTAAAAGACGCAAAAATAGTTAAAAACAGTAAAAATAGTTAAAAAGTTATCACCTATGTGAAACTGTAATTTTTTTCAAGGGTGAACCTATACTTATGAAACGCTCGTTTTTCAAAAAAAAGACTTTTTCTGACATAAAAAATTTATTTTTTGTAGTAGCGGTCTAAAAATTGTGGGCGATATGTATTTTTACATGGACTTTAATATTATAACAACCCCAAACCTCCAAGATTTCCCACCTTGTCTACCGAGGGTGAACCTATACTTATGAAACGCACTGTATAAGGAAGATTTCAAAAGTAAAAAAACTACGTTTTGTATCTGGAACAGTAGTTTTTTGGTAGAAAATCTTATTTTCAGCTAAAAATGTCAACTGTAAATTTTCGAAAAAGTAGTCCAGAATTTTTTGATTTAGGCTGAAGATTTCAGAATATATTAAACAGAAATAGAGAAAAAGAAGGATTGAGCAAGTATACTCTGAAATCTTCTGTCAAATCGAAAAATTCTGGAATAGTTTTTAGGGAATAGTTTTTCCGAAACTGGCTATTTTCCACAAAAAGTGGTAAAATTCATAAAAGTTATAACAGATTCTTAGAAACTACAAAAAGACAATTTCAGATCCTTCATCATGGGCTCGAAACAGAAACAAAATCTAATCCGCCTCCAAAACCCATGGGGCGAAAAAGAGTGGAACGGCGAGTGGTCGGATGATAGCTCAGAATGGCAGAATGTCTCTGATAGCCAACTATCAGCAATGGGCGTGCAACGTGACAATTCTGACAACAACGACGGTGACTTCTGGATGCCATGGGAATCATTCGTTCAATATTTCACTGATATCTCACTTTGTCAACTATTCAACACCAGTGTCTTCTCCTTTACAAAGTCCTATGATGAACAAATCGTGTTCTCCGAGTGGACTACAAATGGAAAAAAGAGTGGAGCACCGGATGATCGAGCCGGTGGATGTTTGAACTTTCAGGCGACATTCTGCAATAATCCACAATACATTTTTGATATTCCCTCTCCGAATTGCTCAGTGATGTTCGCACTAACTCAAAATGATCCAAGTGAAGGGTTAAAGAAGAGGGAACCGTTTGTAACCATTGGAATGCACGTGATGAAAGTGGAGAATAATCGACAGCATCGTGTACATCAGGCCATGCATCCGATCGCCACTTCTGACTACGCATCGGGAAGATCGGTGTACCTGCACTTGCAAAGTTTGCCACGTGGCAGATATCTTTTGGTGCCGACGACTTTTGCGCCGAAAGAACAAGCACTGTTCATGTTGAGAGTGTACTCCGATGAGCATATTCATTTTTCACCGTTGTCTAAGGTGAGAGGGTTTCAGATTTGCTTTCAAGCTATAACGTTTTTTCCAAGTTCCTAAAAATTCGAGCTTCTGAAAACCGTGTTCCCCATCTTTACAATCTCCATTTTTCAGTTAGTAGAGATTACCCTAAAACCTGTATTACAAGGACCCTACACTTCAAAATGTGAGTTCAATTATCTCGGTTCCTATGAGAGATATCAAAAATCTGCCAACTGATAAATTATTGCTGATAATATGATAAATATCTTATCAGTTGACAGATTTTTGATATCTCTCACAGGAACCGGGATAATTGAGCTCAAACATACCCCTTCTTCGTACAATTCTATCAAATTCCATACATTATTGATTGCAGAAATCACTATTTTGAAACAGTGTCAATTTTTTTTTCAATTCAAAAAGTATTATTCTTGTATCAGTCAATTCGCAGCTTGCCGACCGTTGGATACGGTAGCATATGGAATGGGTAAACACCGTGACTCTCAAAAATATAATGGAAAACATTCAAGCGCTCTAGACGTTGGCGCAATTAACCTCACTATCAGCTTCTGTTGAAACTAGGAAAAAATCGAAATGTGTATTCAAAATTTCGGTTTTCTAAATTTTCCAGTTTCCAAAAATTTATTTAGCAGAGTTTTTCTCTCATTTTGATATAACGGACGAATACATAATGTTACTTGAAAAATTCTGAAGAAGTTGAACTCAGGGTCAGAATATTGAAGATGCTGTTGAGCTACCGGTTGATCTACGCGGTAGCTTAGTTGGGTATTTCAAGTTTGTGCTCAATTATTTTGGTTCCTAAAAAAGTATCAAAAAGTCACCAACTTACAGAATGTTTCTGATATCTTGATAAACATGTTATCATTTGACCACTTTTTGATACCTTTTACATAAAACGAGGTGAATTGAGTCAAAGTTAGGAGGTCTTCTAGGGATCTTAATCAACTGATGAGAGAATTATTCAAAAATTATTGTTTTTTTTCCGTTTCAATGCTTTCTTATAATTTGTGAGAATACCTTCAAAACCGATCCTTTCGAAGTCGGTGACAAATTAGGGATAAAAGGCCTGTTCTACAATAGTGGGCCTAAAGAGGTTTCGGAGCCAAGTTAGGGGTGGCCTTCTTTTAGATTGTTTACGGTAGTTTTCATTGTTTCAGTTAGTTTAGATCATGTGTAATGTTCCACTGACATGTTTTTTGCTTTTTTGTATAAAAATTCAATTGATATCTATACATCTCGAACAATCAAACTCGTGCGCAAAATATCAAAAAAAACCGCGCTGACAGTTGAGCAATGCGGTCGTCTATTTCCAACCTGTTTCAAAACTTCCTTAACCGTTCTTTGAATATACCTTTTGTTAGTTTCGATTGCACTGGTTCCGAAAATCGTTAATAAAATAGGTTGAGACCTCTAGAATTTCCAGGAATTTCAAATTAGAAAAGAAGTTTGAAACTGGCTGAAACCTAGTGGTTTACATTAATTACACATGTGCCTCTGACATACTTTTTGAATAAATCTGAAAGATTTTCACTATTTCACTAATGTAGTAAGTAACGTAGTACTAACGTAACGTAGTAGTCATTGAGAACTTGTAACTTTTAATTACAATAAAAGTTGAACAGTATGAAAATTTTTTTTATCGAAATCCAACAAAACTTCTACAGTTTCATGTTGCTAGAATTTTTTAGAATTTTCAAAAATTATAATGTTGGAGTTAAAAATGTATTCTTGCACTTGTCAACCAATAGCATTTCCCAACATTTTCTGACTCAAAAATTCACTGCTCCAGGTTCAACATATTTTTGGAGATATTTGATTTTCAATTATTCATTGAACGTAGATCTTCTTGAGAAAGTGTTTCTGCATTTTTGCAGACCTTCAAAGTCCCAATATCTCAAAATGTTTCTCCTGTTCCATGTTACTGATATGATTTCCTCACTTTTCTTTTCACTGATCTCTTGAGTAAATAATGTGTTCCAGCACGCCCCAAAACTCGGCATATTCGGATGCAAATCCGCGCACAGTGTGACACGTCTCACAATTCATGGAGTCAATTTCAACTCGGCCTCCACAGGAACCCATCAGGTTTATGCGATTCTAAAAGATTCCAAAAAGTCGTACCGAACGAAAAGTTTGAGTGGAGAGAAGTCGATCGAGTGGGAAGAGGAGTTTCTGTTTCATAAGTGAGTTTTTTGTATTGGTGGTTTTAGTTCTACAATACTGCCTGAAGTTTCATTCTTCTCAGGGAATTTTGGACAAGGGTTGGGCGCTCACGCCCACCGATTTGGTCAAATTGCCCACTTGGGCAAGGATTGGGCGCTTACGCCCACTGGCTTGGGCAAATTGCCCACCTGGGCAAGGGTGTGGCATGGAGTGGGCGTAAATGTTGGGGAAGATTTCGCACAATACTCAGTTTTGAAACTTGATTGGTTTGAAGCAATATATCTCATTTGAATGAATTTGTATCAAAATGTTGTCCACTACAAAATTGGAGTGCTATTTTTAGTATTAAACTAGAATGCAGATGGTGGTCGGTGTGTCGCTGTCCTTGTCCTATGACAATTCCAGCTAGTGTGGTAGAATGCTTTTACTCGTGCAGATGACACGTGTGATATCTCAAACTTGGGTAATTAAACCATTTATATAACAAAGTATACAAATTATAACAAGTAACAAAGTAAAGAAAGAAAGAAAGAAAAAGGGGGAAAAAAGGTGGAGGACGGTCTTGGGCGACCGTCTCCTGTTGGGACGAATGTAACAATGAGGGATGGAATGATGCAAGCTGGTCGTCAGATCGTTGGGGGCGGAGTCAAAAGTCTTGGGACGAATGCGTCATGGGGAGAGAGCGTTGGGTAGAGTGAGAGATCGTTCGAGGGTGTAAAGTACAGTGAGAGCGAGGGCGTTAGGAATGAGCAATGATAAAGGAAATAGAGGAATGGAGGAGAGGATTATACATAAATAATATAAAAGAATACGAAATTTATAGAATTGAGTATAAGTATGCTCTAGAGTTTTTAGCTTCATCCAATTAAATCTACCACGTTTTTGGCCTGACTTTCTACTAGTTACTGCTAAAATTTATGAAATTTTCCAATTAGATTTCAAACTAAAAAAAATTACTGCTTCAGGTAGGACATGTACATTTCTCAGTTTTAACATTAACCGATAATAAAATATCTTCGTCAGTCCTGAATTAAAAACATTTTTCAAAAATCATTCCTTTTTTCCAGAGCCAAAAACCGTCAACAATACAAACTGGAAATCTGGGAGGACCGAAAAATGGCTCGCGACCATTTAATGGCTCAATCCGTCCTTATTGCACTAATCGATAACGAGAATCGAGATACGACTGTTCAGTTGGCAGATCCACGTGGTACAATCATTGGCACTGTATCGATTACTGTGTCCGCATTCGATGATCCTATGTACCTTTAAATTTGCTGAAATTTCGTTTTTTCTTTCAAAATTCCTTCCAACAGTATTTTTCTTCTTCATCCATTTTGTTGTCTTGTTATAAGCGATACGGTTCAAATGATTTTGTTTTCCAAAAAATTTAGTTTATCTTGTCCACTTGGTATCATTATATGTATATCAGGAATAGATTATTTGCAGAAAAATAAAAGGTTAAAAATTTGAATAAATTGATTTTTTTTTCTCAGAATTTCAAATTGATGTGTCAACCATTTTTTCCAATTCGAGAATTATTCAAATTGACAGCTTCCCTTTTCAAAAAAAAAAATCCAATCAAATTTCAATCAGCCGTATCCATGTCAATGTAAAATGACTCATCCCTTCCATCTGTAAAGAAATGAAAAAAGAGGAAAAAATTAACGACCGGAAAGAGAGAAAATAGGAGATAAGAAACTATAAAAATAGAGAGCGAGTTGTTGGCAGTTTGTGTTTATGCTCTATTTCATCTACTCCTCCTCTGTTTTATACATAGATAATTGAAACGTTTTTTTTTAAATTTTGTTTTAATTAACTTTTTGTTTTCAATTTTAAAATTATGGAAAAGTCTAGCTTTTTTGAAGTTTGGTTCAAATTTCTGCGTTATAAATATATATATATGAAAAAAAAATTGTATATAAATTAGTGTTTCAGAAACTGTGAAAAATTTTGAAATCGTTTTTTTTCGAATAATAAACACTTGTCAAAAAAGATAATTGTGAATATTTTTGAAAAAAATATTTCAGTTGCTTTTTCTCATCGAAATTATGGAATTGTCTAGCTGTTGTGTTATTCTGTTTATTAGATAAAAAACTGCATTCAAAATAAAATAGTGTTTCAGAAACTGCAGAAAATGTTTTCCATTTAATCCAAATCAGTAGAATAACTTTTTTTTTCAATTTCACAGATTTTCAAGTTTCTTTTGAATTTCCAAGCTTATAACTTTTTGAGTAAGATTTTTCAAATACCCTTTCTTCAGAAGAATTTTCCAGGATTATTCAAGTTCCAGGGTTTTTATTTGGTCGAATTGAAAATTTCGGAAATTTTAATCTTTTAGAAAATTTCAAAATTTAAAGTTTTTAAGACCTCTTTAGGCCGATTTTCAAGCCTATTCAATTTTTGAAATTCAAAGGTTTTTTCAAAATTTCCAACATATTTTTTCGTATTTCACAGCTTCAGAATACCGTAATCAATCTAATAGAACGCAACCCGTCACACTTTGATCCTAAATATCTCACTTCTTTCGTGAGCTATCAAAAAGTTGTCAACTAATAATAAGTTTCGCATGATATCAGCAACATTTCATTAGTCAACCACTTTTCGATATCTTTCACAGAAAATGAGATAAATAAGCTCAAACTCGACGAATCGAGGGACGTTCTATTAGAGTGTTTACGGAATTTAAGGTTTCTAAAAGTTTTCAAAGATGTTTGATTTTCAAAGTTTCCCATTATTTGTCGTTTTTGGATTTGGTTGTTTTTTTGATTTTTGGGATTCTCAGATTTTTAAAAATTGTTGGATTTTGAAAGTAAAATTCGATTCATGATACCACAACTGATGGCACAACTGAAAATATGTATTTGTTTGAGGAATTCAGCTCTTGCCTGAAACGGAATTTTTTTAATTTGAAAAAAAGTGGTTTTTTGAAATTTTAAGGCATGTTTGTTTGAAATTTCTGTTACACTGAAGTAAGTCTTGAAACTTTACTAACTTTTATTCACTTCCCTTGGGTAGTCTTGAAATTTTCAGGTCTGTTTTCTTCATAAAATTTACGAGAAGTTTCTTATCTCCAGTTATCTCTTTTCTCTATTTTTCCGAATTCCTTCTCAATATTCCCAATGGACCATCTCAACAGCAAAATAGAAAAAAAATAAACAAGACTAGTAGGTCGGAAAGCAAAAAAAGAGTAGACGATGAACAATTCGATTTGGCTCCTCTTCTTCCTCCTCCTCATAAAATGTCTATTCTAGCACTATTTCCTTCCCACTGATTCCCACTTTTTGTGATGCTCTTTTTTGAGTCTTCTCCTTATCAACTATCCAAAACTACAGAAATATGTACGTCACTATAAATATTTTTTTGTTTGTTGAAAAAATTAATTTTTTGGTCTTCTAAATTTTTTTCCAATTTCAGAACAAAGTGATGAAAAGCTGTGTTCTACTTTTGGCTTTGGTTGGGATTGGTGAGTTTTGAGAAAAAATTTGTTTGAAAGTTTGAGCTCAATTATCTCGGTTCCCATGAGAGATATCAAAAATGTGTCAACTATCGAAACGTTACTGATAACATAATAAGTAATTTATCAGTTAACACATTTTTGATATCTCTTATATGAACCGGGCTTGAAGCGACCGGCTGTGCCCCAGCCGGCCGCGGACAGGCCGAATTCCAGAATTTTCAAAAATTCAGCAACCGCGCTCCAATGCAACTCGTGTGACAGCTTCCAAAGCTGTTCCAGCCCATTCCCAGTCAACTGTCCACCACATTCCAAATGCTATACCCTGACCAGAAATGGGGAAAGTGAGTTGGAATTTAATTAATTGATTGGGGTAATTAACTAATTATCAAAACAATATTTGATACGAAAAATCAAAAACGAAACGCTCATTTTTCAAAGAAATGTTATGAACATTTTGGAACAGTAATTTTAAAAATGTTGTTTGGATAAGTGGACCAGCAAAAATTTAATGTTTTGAAAAATTAATAATTTTGGAAACATTATAATATATTTGATTTTTTGAAACTTCGTAAGAAAAATAGACAAAAAATTTAAAAAAAAACTCTAAAGTTTGGGTTCAGCATCTTTAAGACAGATTCAAGTTTTTAAAAACATTTTATTGTAAAAGGTGATAATTTTTGTTAAAATCATTTTTTTTGGATTTATCATCTTTCCCAAGCTACTTTAATACAATTAAAATCTGTGCAAACATCATGACGACGAAATGCGCAAAAGACATCTCCCAGAAGCCCAGCGGATTAATTAATTGCTTTGTCGAAAAATGACTTTTCTGAAACATTAATTTGAAGATCCATTTTAAGCTCCATTTTTTTCAGTTGTCGCCAAAGGATGTGCTCATTCGTGTCAAGCCATTTCCTACCTCGACGGATCCAACTGTCAACAATGTCATCATCAAGATTTCTGTAACGATTTTCAGCCGTCAATTGGACAAGGGGCCGTGATGAGACAGCAACCAGAGATTGGAGGAGGTGTTGCTCCGAATAATAATAATGGTGAGCAAAAAATGAGGTAGCGGTCGACCGCGGTCCAGATTCTGAAGCGATCGACCGCGGCCCAGATAACGAAGTGGTCGACCGTGGTCCAGATTCTAAAGCGGTCGACTGCGGCCCAGATTCTAAAGCGGTCGACCGTGATCCAGGTTCTGAATCGGTTGACCGAGGTCCAGATTCCAAAGCGGCCGACCGCGGCCCAGATTCTGAAACGTTTGACCGTGGTCCAGATTTCGAGAGCCTTGAAATTCCTTTCAATTGGATAGTTCAAGATAACAGCTAGCACTTAAGACATAAAATTCTTGAAAATTCAAAAATTTCGGAAATTCGAGAAAATTTTGAAAACTTCAAGCATATTCAGAGAGTTTTGGAAGTTCGGAGTTTCGTAATGTTCAAGAATTGAAGAATATTCGAGATGCTCGAAAATTCCGAAGATTAAAAAAAATCTAAAATTTCAATTTTTTCAAACTGTTCAAAAGTTTATTTTCTGATTTAAAATCTTTTCTGACTACAGTAATCCATACTTTTTACAGGATACCATATCGGCCACGGAGTCCGCCCACGGTCGGCCACTCAGGCATCGTTTGGAGTTCTTATGGCACTTCCAGTTGTTCGTCGTTTTTTGTAATTTTTGATTCCTATTATATAATTTTTCTTTTTTTTTTAAATTTCAATGGGTTTGTGATTACGAAACGAAATAAATATATTTTTAAGGCCCCAGTTTTCTCAAGAAATTGAAACTGAAAAAAAAAAACTTTCAGCCCCAGTTTTATATCTTTCAGTTGTTTCAGAATTTTCAAATTTTTTCTGGAATTCAACTGTTGAGTATTTTTTTGTTCCGTCTTATTTTAAGCATATTTGTTCAAATTCGAGGCCACGCCCCTTTTTGTTTTCTGTTTGGTTTTCTGGTCATTTTTTGCTTTCTTTCTGGCCCTCTTTCTGGCAATCATGTTTTTTCCAGAGTTTCCTTTTGCATTTTTCGCATGGCGTACCTCCTACGTGCACTTTGAGCTCAATTATCTCGGTACCGGTGGAAGATATCAAACATCTGTCCACTGATAAAATGTTTGCCATAATATGATAAATGTTTTATCTGTTGACAAAATTTTGATACCTTGCGAAAGAGCCGAGATAATTGAGCTCAAAGTACACATATGACTCGATAAGAATTGAAATTTCGCTCACAATTTTCACAATTTTCTGAAACCGCAAAAAATCTTTTTTTTCTCACAAAGTAACAAAAAATTGAATCGATTTGAATTTTTTGATCTGCGTCCTTCAAATTCTCCCTTTTCAGACGGCTTTGAAGCTTTTGGCTTTTCGAAAATGCAAAAACTATTTTTTTGAAATTTTTGATCTACCATTTTCCAAATTTTTGATCAACCAAATTTTGCGGTCAAAATTCGATTTCAATTTTGACCCGCCAAACTTTCGAAAAACAATCCGTTGTTTCGTCATCTTTTTGTTTGGTTTTCTTGTCATTTTCTGCTGAATTCTTATATTTTTTGAGCTTCTTTTTGCATGGCTGTCGTGAAACCTGTGATAGGAGGGCTCTCTAACTTTGAGCCAATTTATCTCGGTTCCTATGGGAGATATCAGAAAGTTGTTAACTGATAAAATGCTTGTGATTTTATGATAAATAATTTATCTGTTGACAGTTTTTTGATATTTCTCATGGGAACGGGGGTAATTGAGCTAAGAATTTACAGTATTGCGTTCTTTCCATTACAAGTTTTGGCTATTATTTTGCTTTTTTTCAAAATTCTTTTCGTATTTTCAACATTACTATGTTTGTTTTTTCAGACCATCATGGCCGAACCACCGCATTTCCTGGCTGACACTGAAACGCGGCGAAAATGCATCATGTACGAGTACCTTCGTGGGAAAAGCGTCGACGAAACGCTTCAAGAGATGGGAAAAACCAATCGGATGACAGGACCACAATTCGATGTGGATGGTCAGGAGGAGAGGGACGAGGTGGAATTTTTCTTCGTAAAATTCAAATCTGGAGATTTTCGATTGCACCTTAACAAGAGCAGGTGAGCATCAAAACAAGTCTTGAAAAAAATTTATTAATTTACAGGAAGGATCTACTACCGAATCTTCTCAATCATGAAGAGATAAACCGGAAGGACAAGGTCAAATTCTTCGCAACCCAACTTCAAAAGTCTTCCAACAACCCTGTGATCCAAGAAATGGAAATCTTCGCTAGCACCGAATTTCCGGAAAGTGTCATGATTGGAATCGAAATCCCAAAAGTTTCTCGTGAATGCGTCCACTATCACAAATGCGACACTGGCATCGTTGCTCGCTATATCAGAGCCACAGAGCTCATGGTGTCAACAGCATATACCTATCAGGATATCGCGCTGATCGATACTAACGTTTTCTTGAAGGATTTCCAGAAAGGGACCGGATCGATAAATTCGCTGAAGATTCATGCTGATGAGCCATTGGAGAACGAATTTTACAATAAACTAATTGAGAAATTCCGACAGAAAGAATGGAAGCTGGATGACAAGAATCTTGTGACGAATCTTGTGGTGATCAATAAATCTTTGCATTTGTCGAGGTGTGTCGAAATGGCTCGTATCTTTCCTAGTAAGACGGTAGAGATCAAGAAAGAGAAGTTGGACGAGAGGGATGCTGAGAACTTTGCACAGGTAAGAGAAGGGAGACCTAGGACCAAAATTTTGGAGGCTAGTACCATAGTTTTGGACCTGGGGCCATATTTTTGAACTTAGGAACATAATGTTTAATCTAGGACCATAAATTTGGATCTAGTACCATTATTCTGGACCTAGAGCTATGCTTTTGGACATAGGATACACATTTTCTTTTTTTTTCAGTTTATGCGAACCCCCGATCTGAAAATCAACACGCTCACTGTCTCAATATCCGAAACAGCTGGCCCCACACTGACCGGCACAATGGAATTGTACGAAGATCTAATTGGAAGAGCTATCAACGGCTTCACTGTGGATTATAAATATGGGGAAGGTAAAATTGTGTTCACGAGAACTGAAGAAGGATCCTCCAGCACTGGACGCCCTCCTGCACCCAAAGATGACAGATCCAGATCTAAAAGAAGACCCAGTTTGTCTCGTATTCCACCAGTTAGCCGTTCTTCTTCGCAACAAAGACAGTCTACTTCTGGACAATCGACTACTGGACAATCGACTACTGGAGCATCGCCTTCTAGAGCATCGACTTCTGGACCACCTAGACAATCCAGATCACCATTGACTAGAGCTGGATCATTCAGAAGACCATCCAGATCCCCAAGTACATCTGTTCAAGGAGCATCCAAGCCAGCACTACCAAAACCCAAACATTGAAACCATTCCCTTGTATGTATATCAATCCATATATTTTGGTTTATATATTCTTTCATTCTGAAATTGTGATATTTTGGTCTATATGTGTATGTACATAAATTTTTTAATTGAATATAAATGGTTCAGAAATTTGGTTTTAGTCTTGTTGAATTCCATTTGGATATAACCGAAAAAGAGGGTTCCAAAAAGCCAACTTATCTCATTTTGTTGGATTTTTGCAAAAAAGTTGTAAATTACAAAATTGAAGCTCTATTTTTGTTTAGCATATTCTGTAAATTACAGAACAATTAAAAAATTTGGAACCACTTTCGTAGCAGTTTAAAACATACCACCGTATTTGATCTAATAGAAGCCAACCCTATACGTGCACTTTGAGATTGTTTATCTCGGTTCTCATGAGACATATCAAAAATGTGTCAACTGATAAATTATTTCTGAAATGATGATAACCATTTTATCAGTTGACCGATTTTTGATAACTTTTATAGGAAGCGAGATATTTCAGCTTGAAGGAAACGTCTAGACTGGGATTCTATAAAAGCAAATACAGTATCACAACCAGAAGAAAAGGACAGAAAAGCGAGCTTATTTTGTTTCTTTGAATTTCTACAGAAACGTTGCCAACTACGAAATTGCAGCTCTATCATCGTTTAATATACTCTGAAACATTCAGACAAAAATGAAAAATTCTGAACCTCGTTTGTAGAATTTCAAAACTGGCGCTATTTTCGACTCAAATTTTCGATCTACCCAAATTATTATGATCTACCCAAACCGCTCAATTTTTCTCAAGCAGCCTTATCGATTTTTTACTACTGATCCCCATTATTATCTTGGGAATTTTTCTCATTTTCAAATATTTTCCCCTCCAAACCTGAAAATTCCCACTTTTTTCAGAAAACTAATAAATAATAACGAGATGTCAGATGATAATAAACGGCCTCCGCATCCGAAAAATTGGCCGGTTACTGTAGAGAATCATAATGATTATATAACACAGCGATTTGAGGAAAGAGTCTGTTTTGAACTAGCACATACCCATTAATGTGATGCTATTAGGAACAACGAACAGAATCCATCAGGTGAGTTCAGCTACTTGAACTTTAAGCTCAATTATCTCGGTTCCTAAAAGAGATATCAAAAAGTTGTCGACAGATAAAATGTTGATGGTAATACGACAAACATTTTATCAGTTGACAAAGTTTTGATATCTTTCATGGGAACCGAGATAATTGAGTTTTTAAATAGTATATCAACAAATCACTGCTGTCACTCCGTTGAAGTTTGACTCAGATCCTGAAGATGAAGAGGAGCCATCAACTAAAAGAGCAAGACTTGAAAATCTTTCTGCAAATCAAATTTGGGATCCAGAAGCCATAAAATCAATCGATAGAATCATTTTCTATGATAGCATCTATATTCCACTTGAGAGAGCAGAAGACTCTGAAGAAGATCTGGTTCAGTTGGAACATGTCAGAACTGTTTTCAATTTTGAAGGTGGTCTGCGGACAAATCATTTGATAATACCTGGACAAATGAAATTTCAGGATATTCCGGATATGTGAGTTCGGGGTTTTTTAGTGCAAATTCCATAAATGCTCCAATAGCTCACCCTTTGCTTGAACTTTTGAGCTCAATTATCTCGGTATCTATGAGAGATGTCAAGGATTTGTTAACCAATAACTTGTTCATCATGATATCATCAATTTTTTATCAGTTTCCATCTTTTTAATATCTCAGTTAGGAACCGAGAGAGAGGAGCTCAAATAAAGGATCTGAAAGTATAAGGTAGGCTATCATTGAAGCATTTATGTTATGTATTTGTATGCGCAAACAACTACAGGCCAGCTCATACTTCATCTCAAACCTGGAATTCCGGTACGAAACAAATAGTTAAATGTAGTACTTAACAAGATCTACAAAATAGTATATAATTCGATCGTATTCAAAAACCTAGGCGAATCTTAGTCTTTAAAACATCCCAAGACTATCTTGCTAACTAGCCTCTTTTTCGGTCATTTGGATCGAAATTCGGCATACAAAGATAGTCGAAATAGATATAATTTTATAGGTTTTGTCAAGTTCTACATTTTTCTTTTTGTTTGTCTCAGAAATTCCAGTATTGAGCCGAGTTATGATCGTCGGTAGTTCGCGACCACGTAGCTCAATCGGTCACGGCACGGCAGGTCTCATGTTTCACCTTAAAGTTCAAATTCTCGAGGGCTCCTCCACCTTTTACCCTAAAACCAAGAAGTCATAATATTTCAGATTATTCTGTCGCAAAATTTCCGACCTATTGTGCAACAATGTCGGAAAAATCATCTTGCCGATCAAAAAACTGAAGCTTGTGATTTTCAAAGAAAGGATCGAAATTCATTTATCTGACTCAGAAGAAAAAGGATATTTAATGAAAATTATATACAAAGGTGAAGAAGGAAAAGGAAAGAGAATATGTGGAGAAGCTTTGCATCGAGAGATGGATGATTATAAAACACTGGCAGCTTGCGACTTTTTCTTTCTTCTCAAGAGTCCAGAACTCAAATTAGAAAAATTGGGATTCAAAATTAAGAAAGATGAATCCATGGATCGGTACCCTGATGTATCTGTTCTTGATATTATCGTGAACTTTCTAGCCGCGCTAGAGGATGTAATCTTTGTATCAAAGCTGAGCTATATCTACAGCTGAGAAGAACTTTATGTTCCAAATACGGTCACAAATTACTTGCCTCAGCTTTTGGAGAATTTCAAGCCGAGTTATTTAGATGAAATCAAGATTCGGGTCTGGAATGATGAGAAGGTTTTGAGCAGTGCAAATTTTGAGCCAATTAAGAATATAAGCTTTGGAGGATGCTATGAAACTGAGCAATGGAAGAATGCGATTGATTTGGATATTCGTGATGATTTGATTCCAAAAGACTGGGATAATTTTGCACATTTTGAGGAGATTAAAGTGAAATCTGTGGATCAGAACGATTTGAGAAAAATGTTAGAAGTAAGTTTGAAAATAATGTCAGTTTCAACGTCCTACAAAAGTAGTTCAGAATTGTTCGATTTGGCTGAAAATGTTACAGCGTATTAACCAAAAATAGAGCTTCACTTTTGTAGTTGACAAGTTTTTCGCTGTTTTTCGCATATGCTACGTGCTACTTCTGGAACTTCTGGTACTTGGTTGACTTCAAGTAAGTCTGTGCCACGGCCGAGTTCTCCGCGCCAATCTGAATTCTGTTTGGGCACTTGGTTGGTTTCAGACGATATATCTCATTCAACTGGATTTTTTTTTAGAAAAATGATCAACCACAAAATTGAAGCTCCACTTTTGTTTAGTATACTCTGAAATTTTGAGATAAATTGAAAATTTCTGAACCACTTTTGTAGGAATTCAAAGTTTTCCAAAAGTACTGAAATTACAAAATTATATTTTTTCCAGAATCGCCCGACAAATGCCGACGAGCAATACATAGTGACTGTATCAGAGCCATTGAAAATTGAAGATATGACAGAAGCATTTAAAGATTCTGGAACGTTTGATAAGGACCCGGAAAGTCCGGATTTTCAATTCCCATTGGAACTTACTAAAACTGGATACGAATTCATCATTTTCCGCATTGACATCAATGAAGTCAAAGTTTTTATTCGAGATGCAGCTTTTCGAAATTAATCAGTTAATTCCAATAATCTGAAGTTTTTTATCTGTAATAACTTGAAAATGTTTTTGCTATTTGGTTATTTTATTGTCGATTATATTAGCTTCATTCTCATAAAAATTGTTCCGAGCAGACATCTTGACATATCTTTTAATTTTTGGCAAGTGAATAATTTAGTTGTTTCAGACTTATAAGTTTTCTTTATAATTTGAAGTTTTGATCTACCTAAATTTTGGAACCGCAATTCTTTTTTGTTTTCAAAGACTTCTGCCAATTGCTTTGTCATTTTCCCTTTTTCAATAGTTTTCTCTGTTTTTCAGTTTTGTCTGATATTCCCCCATTTTCAGAACAAGATGAGTGATGATTCACCGGTGACCAAAAAAAACTACGAGCCATTTATCAAGAAAAGGTTTGAAGAACGTGTCAGTCTCGAACTAACACATACCTATTTGTGCCGAGCGATTCAGAAGAATCAGAGGAATCCAGGTAGGTAATTCGGAAGTACTTCAAACAAAGTAGTCGATTTTTAGGGGAAAAAATCACTGCTCTCACTCCGCTTAATGCAATTCAAGATGACGTGGAAGATTCAGAAGCAGTGACGTCTTCTTCCAGCCCAGATGTTAATATGGAACCAAGTTCTAAAAGATCAAGAGCATCGGATAATCCTGAAAACGAAAAATTTGACTCCATAAAATCAAAAGATCCCATCTCATGCGATCCAAAGGCTTATGATCCACCTGGCCCAAGATCAAACATTGATTCGGATCCAGTTCAGTTTGAAACTGTCCGAGATGTCTTTGAAGAACAAGCGGAACTTTTAACGAATCGCTTCGAGGATTCTGTGAAACTTCAGGATATTCCGGATATGTGAGTGACCTGTCTCATTACGGTATGATCAGTCACTTTAGGGTATTATCGGTCCCATTGAGCTGTCATTGGCCCCATTATGGTATCATTGGTTCCATTATGGGACGATCGGGCTCATAATGGAATCATAAGTCCCATCACGACATCATCGGTCCCATGATGGTATGATCGGTCCCATTATTTTATCATCGAGCCCATCCTTTCATCATCGTTCCCATCATGGTATCATTGATACTATTTATTATGCTATTATCGGTCCTATTATGGGATCATCAGTCCCATCATGGTATCATCGGTCCCATTATAGACGATTTTGAAAAGAACGGGAGCATGATCTATAGGTGGGACTATGAACAGATGGTCTCGTCATGTTGGACCTCTCTTCTTTTATAGACCCATTTTTCCATGCCTTTTTCCAATAAACACAACAAATTTCCAGATTGTTCAGTCGACGAATTTCCAAAGAACTTTCCGAGAGAATGGAGGAGATCGAAATTCCGATTGCTAGATTGACGGTTTCGATTTTTACGGATTTTGTTATAGTCGACATATACGATGAAGATGAAGAAGTTGAGAGGAAACCAATTGTAATCAGATATCAAAAGACTGAAGAGAGAAGCATCACATGTAATGATTATAAATCAGTGGCGGCTTGTGGCATTTTCTTTGTTCTCCAACATCCGGATCTTAAGCTCCAAATTTTGACATTCTACATTTGTGAAGGTGGCGATCGATATGTCGATGTTTCCCTCCAAAAGCTGATTCTGAAATTACTCGAGCGATTAGAGCATAAAGTCCATGTCGAAAAGTTCATATATACATATAGCAGAGAAGAGCTTTATGTTCCAAATACCGTCACAAACTATTTGCCGCAATTACTGCGAGCTTTCCAGCCTGGAACCCTGAAAAAAATTGATCTAGCCTTATGGAACGACAAAGAAGTTTTGGGAAGAGGAATGTACGAACGAATTAGGGAGTTGAATTTTGAAGAGGTTTTCAACACTAGGCAATGGAAAGAGGCGACACAGTTGGATGACTTGGATGGTCTCGTTCCTAAAGATTGGGACAATTTTATTCATTTGAAAACTATTAATATGAAATCAGTGGATCAGAATGATTTGAAGTACTTCCTAAATGTAAGTGTTTTCTCCCTTTCCACTTTGAATTTTTTGTGCTTGTTCCAATATCACCAACATTCTTCCAACTTGCTGATTCTTGACATCTCTCACAGAAATTTAAACAATTGAGCTTTTATTCCAGTACATTCCAAAATATGCCGATTCAATTTTTGAAGTTACATATGAGAAATTGAAAGATATTGCAGTCGTAAAAGCATCATTCAGAGGACATGGAAAATTCGACGCAGACCCAGATTCTACTGAATTCGATTTTCCATTAAAATTCTATCGAGATGTTGAAGATGAACGACGTTTTCTGGTCTATAAGTTGGATAACGATCGCTTTGAAATTTATTTCCAGAACGAGAAGCCGAATTGCGAGCTTTGGAATTAAATTTGTGTTTTTAGTATTGTTGATTATTTCGATTATTTATAAAATTGTTCCAATTTCGGACAGTTTGATTTCTAGACGGACAGCTAAAAAACTTTTACAGTACCGGTTGTTAAACCAACGTCTTTTTCAGCTGAAATTAAGCGCGGTCCTTTCAAAAGATACCAGGAAAGTGTTAACTGATAAATTATTTACCACTAGTATTTTATCAGTTCAGAGATTTTTGATATCTCTCATAGGAACCTATGAGTTCGAAGTGCGCGTATAGGTTGAGCTTCTATTAGGGGAAAATACTGTATACTGTAGAAATCGAACTTCCATGTTTCAGAATCGTCCAATAAGATGAATATTGAAGATGTGAAAGAAGCACTCAAAGATTCTGGAACATTTAATAAGGACCCAGAATGTTCAGAATTTCGATTATCATTGTATTTCACTCGAAATGGGAAAATTATTTTCCGCATAAATAAAAATTTGAAAAACCTCTAAAAAAACCTAAAACAACACTGAAGAACTATTCTACCTTAACCGAAGCCTCTAGTCCATGAAAAAACATATTTCAAGCAAATTTTCACAATCCCAAACTCAAAAAAAAATTTGATCTATTTCAACAATTTTTAGGCGCGCAGAAATGGCTCCATTGTTTTTTTCATTCTTATTGTGTCATTATTTCGCATTTTAATCAAAATTTTTGGGTTTTTTTTCAAATTTCCAATTTTCAGCCCCCAAAAATGAGTGATCCATTGGAAACTCCGCCGAGCCATCCATTGCAAACCGATCAGCAAAAACTCGAGGACTTTCTTCGGGATTTGTACAGAAAGAATTATTCAGTTCGACATGCTCATTTTGAAGTCTGCAGAATTATCAAAATCGAAACGAACACAATTCAATTAGAAGAGGCGAGGATGGCGGAAAGGTTAGAATCAACGAGAAGATTGAAAAGAGAAGGCCCACCGTCGGATACAGACGAATCCGCTCCAGACGCCAAAAAAGCTTGTTCTTCAGGTAATATCCATTTTTGAGATAAATTTCCCTACCGACCGACCGCTGACCCAGCCGAGCAATTGATCAGCTTGAGCGGCAATCGGTCGGCTGGGTCGCCGTTTTGCGACCTACCGTGATAGATGCCTTTATTTGAAGTGAAGATGAAATAAAATTCCAAATGTTTCAGAATCTGTCCATCGACGCATTCCGGAAGAAATTGACTTTTACGATCCAGAAAAAGAATACAAAGATGTGGAGGATGAGCAAGTGGATATCAATTTTGTTAAAGAGTTTTTCCAAAAAGAAGCAGAAAAAGAGTTTCTGGAATTGAATAGGAAATATGGAGATAGGAAGATTGAGCAGTTGGAGGATGTATTGAAGTTGTGAGTTTTTTTTTGGGAGAAAAAAAACGAATCTTGGAATTTTTTTTGTCTCGAGAAGTCTCGAGTCTTGGGTCTTGCTAGTTTCAGAAGCCTCGAAAGCTTCGAAATTCTCGAGTCTAGCAAGTATCGAGTCTCGCAAATTTCGAAAACCTCAAAAATCTCGCAATTCTCAAGTCGCCAAAGTCTCTAGTCTCGCATGTCTCGCGGGTCTCGTAAGTTTCGAGTCTCGTAAGCCTCGAGTCTTACAAATCTTGCAAATCTCGCAGTTCTCACAGGTCTCAAAGGTCTCGAAAATCTCGAAATTTCAGATTCCATCTCCGACGACTAACTCCCAAATGTTGCGCTTCCGCCGAGAAGTACGTCCTCCCTATTAAATCTCTCAAATGGATAACTGGAGATTCGAATATCAAAATTCAAATAACCGACTATCAGAATAATACAGTTGAGATCAAATACTGGCCTGGAGAAGATTGTTCATTAGCTGAATATGGAATTGGGAACCCCCCGGTTACTGTAGATACAGTGGAATTCAATCAACTGGCTGCTGCTGACTTTGTTTTCATTCTCAAGGGACCAAATCTTAGACTGCAACTAATGGAGTTTGATATTGAGCCGTTTGACAAGTTACCCACCTTCGAATGCTTTATTGAAAATTTCCTAAACCAGGAACTCAGAAAACAACAAGTCCACGTGGCAAAACTGGCTTATAAATTCAGCAGCTCGGCTCCTGATATCACTTACAGAACAATTCAACAGTACTTGGCGCCAAAAGTTTTGACATATTTGAAATTTTCCGTATGGAAGGATCCAGATGAAAGCGTCGAGTCGCCGAGAATCGACTATTCTGATTTTGTTGAATTTGTTCAGTGGAAACAAGCGACTCATTTGGAAATTCAAGAAACGAATTTAGGGCTCGACTGGCAACATTTTTATCATTTTGAAGTTATCAGTTTAGAGTCACTGGATCCAGAAGACGTGGAAAATATGTGTCAGGTAATTGAGATTTTCGAGAGTCTCGAAAATTCTAGAATCAAAGTTCCAGACATTCAAAGAAGCTCGCTATCAACCAACAAAAGGGATCACTATAAATGTTGAGAGGAAACTCGATTTCGAAGGAATCAAATCCAAATTAGAAGGGATTGGAAACATCGATGATTCGGAAAAATCGATCGAATTTCTGTCGGGTGATAAGAAGATGATTGTGAAGTTTGAGGATTTTTATATTATGGTTAACGTATTGGAGACTTAAGCTTGTTTTATTTATATTTTAGGTTCGAAGTGTTTTGTTCATTTTTATCTTTATCCAACCGAATTTTGGCTCTGCTCATTCGCATTTTTAATTATGCTTTTTTTCAAACAAAGTGTTATTTTTATGATTACCAGAAGTAATTGTTTCTTACTGTTATCTGAAAAACAATTCAGAATGGTAAATTTGTGTGATTAGCTGATACAAACCATGACATATGTATTGGGAGTTAGGTCCGGTTCACATGTCAAACTCATCAAAAAACATCTGCCTTTTTGAGGGAACCAATTAAATGTAAAGGCATTCTTTCGAAGAAATCCTTTGGGAAGTTTTTTTAGAGTGATGGTCCCGTGCAGATATGGTTCACATGACAAAAACACTTTTGCCTTCTAAAGAGGACCAATAATGCGGAAAGGCGATTTTGGTTAGATAAAATAATTTTATTCCTGTGAGCAAATATAAAATATCTCCCGAAAACACTCGGAAGTCACGGAAAATGATTTCATTGAATGATTAAAATCCAAGCAAAACTTGTTTCAAACAATATTGAACCTTAATTACAGTATACCGAAAATTTTGATCTACCAACTTTCCAACCCCGCGAATTTTTACAACGATTTTCAAAACTTGTTTTTGTTTTCTATTTTCTGGATTGTTTTCGATGTACAGTTGATTTCTTTGAAAATTTCAAGTTTTCAGAGTTTCTTTCGAATATTTCTTTCTCTAATTAAAACAAGTTTCCGTTTTCCAGCTCAAAATGGACTGGAAAACGTTACCTTCCGGCCAAACATATGGAGATTTTATTGAAAATTTGTTCAATGAAAGAGTTCCATTTCGAGAAGCGCATAGACGATTATTGCAGGAGATTGACAACAGTCTACAAGGTGAGCCAAAATGAACATTTTAAATTCCTTCTGATTTTTCAGGACAATCTTCTACAAGTAGTCAAAGATCTGGAATGAAACGTCCAATGGATGCTTCAGAAGAGCCAAAACCTTCAAAAACTGTCAGACAAGAACAGCCAGAAGCGCCAATCCCTGAAGAGCCTCCTGGAAATCTAAATGAGCGACAGCGTTTTGTGCAAAGATGGAAACGAGAACGAGTCGAATACTATCCGGGAATATACGATCCACAGAATGAATTACCGGAAAAAACCGACCATATCATTCAAATTGAACAAGTCAGAGATTACTATGAAGAATTGGCACAAGCAATGATGGATGGTTATCCTCGTGATCAGAATGCTTTTGGTTTTGGGTCGAAGAGAGATGTTTGGGATCTGTAAGTTTTCTTTGAAGGCACATCGGAAAGGGGTACATCGAGTCAATAGAATTAGAAGGTACATATTGTAGAAATGAAAAATACTGTAGATACTGTATCGAGTAAGATCAATAATCCAAAATTTCAGATTGTTCTTTCGAATGATCTCTCCCCGATGTTGCGCGTCTGCTGAAAAATTTGCCATAAAAAGCATTACAAGGCTGAAAATTGTGATTTTCTTGGACAAAGTTGAAATCAAAATTCAAGATGACGATAGAAAAATGTTGATCGAGTACAGAAGAAACGAACGCGGGAAAGAAGAAGTGAAGAAAAGGAGAATAGGTGAAGAACAGATAATTGAATACGACACTCCTAGCTACAAGATTCTGGCGGCTTGTGATTTCTATTTTCTCCTGAGAATGCCGTTGTTAAAACTGGAAAGACTTGGAATCAAAATGTATGACATGCCAACCCCCACTTTGCCTCGAAGACATCGTCGATATGTTGATATTTCTCTGTTAAGAATTATCATTAGACTGATAGCCGAAAAGAAACCGAGCCCACTGAGAGTGGAGGAGAAGCTCACGTATATGTTCACTCGAGAATTCCTCGTTTTGAATGAAGACCCAATCCAAGTAGATCCCTTAATAAATATGTTGGAGTGTGGATATCTGAAGACAATTAAACTTCGTGTTTGGGATGATTCTGAGGTTTATCTAGCCAACAATTACCCTAACATGACACATTTTCTCGCAAATAGTCGCTTTAGTATTGATTACCTTCGGCCATTTTTCATATGGAAAAATACCGAGACACTGAACCTTCGAGGTTGTTTTATTTTCACACCAAACGACAATTTCGAATGGAAATTTGTGTATTTTTTCCAAAAAATTATAGTCTATGAATTATCTGCTGATGATGTATGGGATGCGCAGCAAGTGAGTTTGTTTTTGGATTATTGATGAAATGAATTTGTTTTTTTAGAATCTCCAATTGGAAGAAAATGAACACCAGCGATACACTGTGATTTGTGATGAGGAAGAGGAATTGATTCCCGATGAAATTGGAAGAACAAGAGGTGCAAGACGAATCCCAGGAAATTTTGATAAACATACTTCACTTGGTTTCCCGTTGAAACATACTCGAAGAGACAGAAATGGAATGACATATGTTTTGAAAATGGGAAAGAATGAAATCAACGTCACTGTCAGACCAACGACGGATAGTGATTAAGATGAATGATTTGGAAATTGACTTCTCTTTTAACTGTCTATAACTATTATTGTCTTGAATATTTTGCTCATTTCATAAAGTTGATTTTTATGGAAAGTAGGCAATCGGTTTTAGACAGAGTACGGAACTTATGTCTGAAATCAAAGTGTAAAATGGATACTTTGCAAAAAGAAAACCATTGAATTTTTGAATTTTTATTTTCTTCTGCGGTGATTCAAAAAATAATTCTGAATAACAACAAATGGAAGATTCAAATCTTTAGCAAGACTTCTTTTGGTAAGCGTTGTTGGACATTGGCACAATTTGAACACCTCTTCCAGGGCCTTCTCTTGGTATTTGGTAAATTTGGTCCGCGTTTTCTTCTCTTCAGATTCCACCGGTTGCTTCTCCATCTTCTCAATCCTTTTCAGGTATGTCTTCTTATCATCATCGTTCAATTCTATCCAGTTATAGATGCGGACGTAGAGAGCTTTTCCCATCTCGGTTAAGGACTCCCATGGTTTTGGATTCTTGCAAATACTTGAATAATATGCTTGGGTCCGTTGGAGAACCAATTCAGCGAACGTCTTCTGACTGAGCATTTTTTCATTGAATCCAAATCGTCTTCTGGAACTTTCACAAGCATTGATGATGTCGGCAGTGTTGGCTCGCGTCCAAATTGATGGTGGGGATGTTAGATGACACGGAAGAAGATGGCGATGGTAGGAGGGTGGATGGTGATAGACGATCTGATTGGTGGACCATTGGTAGGTAGGTCTGGTCTGGAAGAGATGGAGCAATTGGTGCTCGTAGATTGACTAATTGTTCCATTGGATGATGAGGTTCCGACGCTGGAACGAGTGGTTGAAGTGTGACGTTTTGCAGCAGATTCTCATATTCCAGGAAATCGTTGGGTTGAGCAAAGTTCTCAAGGGAATTTCCGACAGGAATCTTATTCTCCGTTTGTCTACGGACTGGTCCAGCAAAGCTCGCTTGGGTCTGAGCCAAATATCCAGTTAATCCAATTGAGCTAGAAAAGGAGTCAGAACAATTTGAAGAATTCATTGATCCAAGGGATCCAGAACTTGATCCATTGGAAGACCCAGGCGATTGTACTGTAGATCCGATTGGGGCGAAGAAGTCTTCATCAGTCAGACCACCGGAATACGGAGGTGTGAGACCTGCAAATATTTTCACTTGGTTTCGAAACAAAGGCTATCTTTTGATAATTATTTTGAATGGAAACTCAGATTTTGTAACTTACAGAGACTAGAAATTTCAAAAAACAAGATAAAGGCATTCAAAAACACTTACCAGTTTGAGCGCAACACAAGCTTGCAGATTGCAGGTAGTTGTCGAAGAAATCGCCAAAGTTGGACATTTCAGATGAGAATGATATCGATTAAATTGAATTCGAGAGACTCGAGAGTCGTCTTGAAGGGTAAGGAGTGCAAATGAGCTATCTTGAGGTGGGGTAGAGATAGGCGGGACTTAAAGTGAACGGAGCGAATCGTAATGATGGTTCCTTGCACAACCCGTCTTCACCCTCTGGTTAGGTCCGGTTCACATGTCAAAAATGCCGTCAAACTAATCAAAAAACACCTGCCTTCTGAAGAGGACCAATTACTTCTGTAATAATGGCGAAAGGATGTCCTTTGGGAAGGTTTTTAAAGGTACAGGGACTTTCTAGAAACATTTAATGGGAAATCCGTGAAATTCAAAGTCAATTTTTACTCATTTGTTTTTGGTACATCAAACTTTCATAGCATTTGATCTGCAATTTTCGCAACCCCGCGTATGTTTTCCAAATTTTCAAAAACCTGCCCAAATTCACATTTTTCTTTCGTTGTCGCACTTTTCTGCCCAATTCCGAAATTTCAGACAAAAATGAACGAGCCCGCCAATAGAATAAATTATGGAACTTTTCTTCGAGACCTCTATCACAAAAGATACCCAGTTCTGAAGTCTCACAGGTTATTGAGAGTGGAAATAGCCAAAAGTGAACCAGACAGGTTTTCAATACTTTTTTGTTTTTTAAGACCCTAATTTTTTCAGCGCCAGTGCAATTTGAAATTCCAAATCGGAGTGGAACGAAACGAAAGTTGGCACTAGAAACTGAAGAATCGACGTCTTCAAAAAGCCAAGACAGGATTCTATAGAAGCGTTGAATCAGGATGAAGACGTTGAGGAGCACAATGAGATTCCCAGCGTGGAGCATCAGGGTGAAAAAGCTAGAAGTCCAGAAGAGGAAGATGTCGAGGAGATTTCCAACATCGTTCGAGCTGAAAGTATCTCCCAGAAACCTGAAAGCTCTCCAGCAACGAGCACGTCCTCTGAAGACGAAGAAGTCGTTGGAAGTTATGAGCAAAAAGAGTACGTGGATGATGTCAACGATCGAATTAAAATCGGATTGGTTCGAATCATTTTTGAGAGACTGGCGAAAGAGGAAATGGCGAAAATTCAAAGGGACAATGTGAATATCAAGGATTTGTGAGTTTTACTTCAACAGCGACGCTTCAATCATTCCGCAATTTCAGACTATTTTTCCGAAGCATCTCTAGCACCTGCTGTAAATTCGCTGAAACTTTTGAGCTTCCTATAAAGAAACTGAAACTGGTTATTCATCGAGAATTTGTGGAAATCAAAATTTGGAATGAGCAGAATTCGTTGACGATTCTAGAATATCAAAATTCAGAAGATAACGATGGAACCAAATATGAAACTTTGGCAGCTTTTGATTTCTTCTTTCTCCTCAGAAGTCCAGGAATCCAACTCGCAAGACTTGGAATCAAAATTGCTTCCTTTGAAGATAAGGATGCGCTATGCTACACGGACGTTTCCCTCCTCCGAATTATCGTTGGGCTCCTGAAAAGAAGACTCGATGAGCAATCGACTCATCTGAGCAAGCTGGCATATATGTATTCTAGAGAGGATGTTTTTGGGTTGGATAGAAAGCCAAGAACCGATTATCTAGAAGAAATTGTGAACTTTATGAAGCCCCGGATTCTGGAATGTTTTAAATTACGAACTTGGGATGATACTAGAGTTGTGAACAGTGAAAGGTACAGAGATCAATTGGCTTTGGCGATTGCGGAAGGAGAGAATGAGCAATTGATTGGTGGCGTGTATTTGACGGAGCAGTAGAAGAAGGCGACTCGGCTTGATATCAGAGATAAGCTGATTATTAAACACTGGAATTATTTTGCGGATTTCAAAGAGATTCGGATGTTATCGTTGAGCCCTGAAGATATGAATGAAGCGCAGAGTGTAAGTGGACGTTTTAGAACCGGTTTGAAAAAGCCGAATGCCTAAAAAATATAGTAAAATTTGTCGGATCGGTCTGAAAGTGTCAGAGTGTATTAAACAAAAATAGAGCTTTGCTTTCGTAGTTGACAACTTTCTCAAAACTACAAAAGTTTTTGAGATATGCGTCTTCAAACAGAGCGTACCAGATTAACGTTTTCAGAAGATCCAACCTTTGTTGCCTACAAAAGTATTCGAGAAATTTCTAATTCGAGTGTATTCAACTAAAATAGAGCTTTAATATTGTAATTGACGACTTTTTACTTTAAATTTGTCCAAATGAGATATACCGCTTCAAACCAACCAAGTGCCAAAACTGAATACTGATTGCTGCGAAGCGGTATATCTCCTTTCGGATGGAATTGTACGAAAAAGTGGTCAACTACGAAAGCGATAATATTTTTAGGTCTCACACCTCCGTATTCCGGTGGTCTGACTGATGAAGACTTCTTCGTCCCAATTGGATCTACAGTACAATCGCCTGGGTCTTCTAATGGATCGACTTCTGGATCCCTTGGATCGATGGATTCTTCAAATTGTTCTGACTCGTCTTCTGGATCGATTGGATCAATGGTATATTTGAATCAGACCCAAGCAAGCTCTGCTTGTCCAGTTCGTAGACAAATGGAGAATCAGACTTCTGGCCAACAGTCATTTGTGGACGTTGCTCAATCTAATGATTTCCTGGAATATGAGGATCTCCTACAAAACGTCACACTCCAACCACTCGTTCCAGCGTCAAAACCTCATCATCCAATGGAACAATTAGTCAATTTACGAGCGCCAATTGCTCCATCTCTACTAGAACAGACCTACCTACCAATGGAACCGTTAATCGGCCAATCAGTTCGTCTATCACCATCCACCATCCTACCATCGCCATCTTCTTCCGTGTCATCTAACATCCTAACCATCAATTTGGACGCCAGCCTCCACAATGGAGTTTCAATCAACACTGCCGACATCATCAATGCTTGTGAAAGTTCCAGAAGACGATTTGGATTCAATGGAAAAATGCTCAGTCAGAAGACTTTTGCTGAATTGGTCCTCCACCGAACTCAAGCGTATTATTCAAGTATTTGCAAGAATCCAAAGCCATGGGAGTCCCTTACCGAGATGGGAAAAGCTCTCTACGTCCGCATCTACAATTGGATCCAATTGAACGATGATGAGAAGAAGACATACCTGAAAAGGATTGAGAAGATGGAGAATCAACCCGTGGAATCTGAAGAGAAGAAAACGCGGACCAAATTTACCAAATACCAAGAGAAGGCCCTGGAAGAGGTGTTCAAATTGTGCCAATGTCCAACAACGCTTACCAAAAGAAGTCTTGCTAAAGATTTGAATCTTCCATTTGTTGTTATTCAGAATTATTTTTTGAATCACCGCAGAAGAAAATAAAAACTAAAACTGTGTTTTCTTCTTTTTTTCAATGAAAGTGTTCAATTCACAAAATGTAGACTTATGAAAAAGGCTCAGTTTATGACTTTTTTTTCATAAGCGTTAACAGATTTCCAAAAATATGTGTTATCCGGAAGTCAGAGATTTAAATGTTTTGTCTTAATAGTGTGATTCCTCCGAATTATCGTTGGGCTCCTGAAAAGAAGACTCGATGAGCAATCGATTCATCTTAGCAAGCTGGCATATATGTATTCTAGAGAGGATGTTTTTGGGTTGGATAGAAAGCCAAGAACCGATTATCTAGAAAAAATTGTGAACTTTATGAAGCCCCGGATTCTGGAATGTTTTAAATTACGAACTTGGGATGATACTAGAGTTGTGAACAGTGAAAGGTACAGAGATCAATTGGCTTTGGCGATTGCGGAAGGAGAGAATGAGCAATTGATTGATGGCGTGTATTTGACGGAGCAGTGAAAGAAGGCGACTCGGCTTGTTATCATAGATAAGCTGATTATTAAACACTGGAAGAGATTCGGATGTTATCGTTGAGCCCTGAAGATGTGAATGAAGCGCAGAGTGTAAGTGGACGTTTTAGAACCGGTTTGAAAAAGCCGAATGCCAAAAAAATATAGTAAAATTTGTCGGATCGGTCTGAAATGTCAGAGTGTATTAAACAAAAATAGAGCTTTGCTTTCGTAGTTGGCAACTTTCTCAAAACTACAAAAGTTTTTGAGATATGCGTCTTCAAACAGAGCGTATATCTCTTTTCGGATGGAATTGTAAGAAAAAGTGGTCAACTACGAATTTGAAGCTCTAGTTTTGTTTTGTATAACCAGAAATTTTCAGACCTATTTGACAATTTTTAATGTGTTTTTTAGACATCCAAACTTGACAAAGTAACAATTTCAGGATTTGATGGATGATCGAAAACAAGCCTACACAATATTCGTGGCAAATTCACTGAAACTTGAAGGAATCAAAACGGAACTCGAAGATATTGGTGAATTCGACAAAGATCCGAAATGCCCAAATTTTGAATTCCCGCTCGAGTTCACGAGAGAAGAAAAAGATGGGCGTATATTCGTCACTAATATTTCATCGAAGTGACAGTTTCAAGTGACAGTCAGGAAAATTGACCAGAATGCGAATGATGCGTCTGTGGATGATAATTGAATAATAATTTTGGTAACAATAATAATACTGTAATTTTAAAACTTTTATTAACACTAGAATTTTTTTAAATTTGTAATTGTGAAATTTACTATTTTGGATATTTGTTATATGTATTTTTTAGGCTTATTTTTCACTAAACTGTTCTTATTTTAACAATGGTTTTGTTGGATACAAATTTTAGAAACTTTCAATGCTGACGGTTCAAAAAAGAGATAGAAACTTAAAAGAGCTGTTTTCAGTACCCGCTAAGCTTCACGGTTGCAGCTTTGACCGCTAATGGGCCGCCCATGGACCACTTACGGGCGGCGGCTGGTTTGCAGGCAGGAAGAGGGATCTGTAATATTGTATATTCAAAATAATCGCG